AACAGTAGCTTTTTTATTTTTTTTTCTAGGTTAAATTTGGTGAACTTTAAAATTTTTAATGTATAATATAGTTAAACTTTTACATATTTTAAGTAATTATTTTAAGTAATTATTCAAAGCATATTTTATTTTTTTATAAATGCATTTATTTTGAATGGTAAAATATATTTTTGAGTTATTTGGTAATATCACGTAATTATTAAATAAAATAAATCTGTTTTCTTTATTTTTTATTAATTTTTTTTGAATGATATATACGGACCGATCCCAGTCCATATATAGTTATTCGGACCGGGATCGGTCCTTATATTCCATGAACAGTAGCTTTTTTATTTTTTTTTCTAGGTTACATTTGTTGAATTTTAAAATTTTTCATGTATAATATAGTTAAACTTTTATATATTTTAAGTCATTATTTTAAGTAATTATTCCAAGCATATTTTATGTTTTTATTAATGCATTTATTTTGAATGGTAAAATATATTTTTGCATTATTTTGGAATATTACGTAATTATTAAATAAAATAAATCTGTTTTTTTTATTTTTTAATGTTTTTTTTAAATGATATATACGGACCGATCTCGGTCCGTATATAGTTATACGGACCGGGATCAGTCCCTATATTCCCTGAACAGTAGCTTTTTTATTTTTTTTTCTAGGTTACATTTGGTGAACTTTAAAATTTTTCATGTATAATATAGTTAAACTTTTACATATTTTAAGTCATTATTTTAAATAATTATTCTAATCATTTTTTATTTTTTTATAAATGCATTTGTTTTGAATGGTAAAATATATTTTTGCATTATTTGGTAATATTACCTAATTATTAAATAAAATAAATCTTTTTTTTTATTGGTTTTTTTTCAATGATTTATACGGACCGATCTCGGTTCGTATATAGTTATACGGACCGGGATCGGTCCCTATTTTACTTGAACAGAAGCTTTTTTTTTTTTTCTAGGTTACATTTGTTAAACTTTAAAATTTTTCATGTATAATATAGTTAAACTTTTAATTATTTTAAGGAATTATTCTAAGCATATTTTATTTTTTTATAAATGCATTTATTTTGAACGGTAAAATATATATTTGTATTATTTGGTAATATTACCTAATTATTAAATAAAATAAATTTGTTTTCTTTATTTTTTATTGGATTTTTTTCAATGATTTATACGGACCGATCCCGGTCCGTATATAGTTATTCGGACCGGGATCGGTCCCTATATTCCATGAACAGTAGCTTTTTTATTTTTTTTTCTAAGTTAAATTTGGTGAACTTTAAAATTTTTCATGTATAATATAGTTAAACTTTTACATATTTTAAGTTATTATTTTAAATAAATATTCTAAGCATATTTTATTTTTTATAAATACATTTATTTTGAATGGTAAAATATATTTTTGCATTATTT